CGATGACTCCGAATTCGGATAATGCCGAATGAGTTAATTTTTGGAAGGCCCTGGTTGTTTCTTTTCCTTACCTTCCCTCCGTCCGCAACAGAGGGGGATCATTTCCATTTTCTTCCTTTTCCTCACCGCGTTCCTCTGCGTAGGTAGCCCCCTTCGCAATCTGTCATCGGATCCTGCTGGGCTGTCCCAAAAGATCTGTGAACTGATTTGCAAGTCAGGTGTAACCTGGACACAGACAACACTTCGCCTTTGACCCCCCTTTCCTCCCTCCGACTCTTGTGCAGCTATCTCCTCGTTCGCAGTCCTTAATTGGACCCGGCGTACTTGGCTAGCAATCTCCAACCCTGCGTTCTTGAAGATCGCATATCCCCGCTCGGCCTCCTAGATTTTTCTTCAATTTTCACGACTTCGATACGACTCCACTTCGGCCCCTTTGATCACTCAATCCACAGCGATCAACGGCCATTCGGCAAGCAGTCCGAGTCTGTTTGTCGCCCCGACTCGCAAGAGTCTCCTTTATCACAACGCAAGTTGCTTGAAATGCCTGTCCCAACGGCCTTGGCCCCGTCTGCAGCCATCAACGTAACCTCTCTCAAGAAAAGCCAGCAGCTACGCCCGCAGCTCAGTCTTACCTGCAGCGTCGTGAAGCTGCGCACCCCAAGGGCATCGTCCACCCTCTTGCGTCTACATTTGACGACATGATCGCCTCGTTCTGCCTCAACACGCGGCTATCATGCACCAATTCAACAGTGGTCATCATCGTCCTTTCACCGTTGCCGAGGACAACGTGCCCTTTGACGTCCTTTATGGAGCCAGTCTAGCTCCCCAAGAGAGGTACGGTGCTTCTCATCCTACGTGCTGCATTCGGGCGCCGCCGTCGCCTCTGGTTTCCATATCACCCTCCCAATAAGCGCCGGAACACTCCGAGTTGGCCTCCTTCGCCTCATGGTTATCCTCCTACCCCTTCTTTCGGCGAGGACAACTGCAGCGTGGACGAGCATGACTCGTACGTGCGCAGGGAGTACAGGGTAGTCAATGACCGATTCCGCGAGACTTCCGCTAATATGGCGCCTTGGCCTCCCGTTCCCGGTAACTTGCCTCCTTACCCCCAGTACGAGGATCTGCCGGTTCACAAACACCAGCATGTTTATGGCTCATTTGCACCTGCTGCGTCTGAGGTTCCTATGCCCGACATCGTGCCCGAGCAACTCGTTGTCCCTCGGCCTGCTCCGGTGACCCGGGATTAGAGGCTCTGACACCGCCGAACGATGACCCTCCAACAAACTTTATCCATCACCATCTGAGCTGCTCAAAGCGCCAACGAACAAGCAAGGGCTAACGCGGGCGTCAATCTCGCGGATTGGATGAGTGACAGTGTTTGGGACGTCTGCTCCTTTCTAGTCTCAAATGAGTAGGTCTATTTTCGTTATGTCTCCTACCGGAGGTACAAGTGCTCATATGTTTTCTAAGTGCACCTCCATCACCAGGTCGAGTGTTTCTCCGCCGGTCCCTTCGTTCTCTGGTGGCATGGTGCCTCCTCCTTTTCGGCGGTTTGTCCAACAGACCATCTACCAAGTCTCTGCATCTGCCGCGTCGTTGATATTGGCTCTTTGGTATATCCATCGTCTTCCCATTCGTCGGACCGACTATGACAATTTGTCCGAAATGGAGCGTGCTTCCGCGACGACCTTCTTTCCTCTCGGAATGAGATCCCTTGGCGGATTCTCGTTCTTGGTCTTACGTTAAGCAATAAGTGGTTGGAAGATAATACCTTCACAACGAAGACTTGGTGTGTTTTTAGTTCCTGATTCAGGTCCGAATCACTCTGATACTGGTTTGAATTAGGCACGAGGTCACTGGGCTAAGCATGGCATCCATGCGCTCACTTGAAATGAAAGCCCTTGCTATTTTTTCCTGGGTACTTGGGCCGCAGCCCGATGAATGGCTGGCATGGATAAGTCAACTCAGGCGACGGGAGCTGTCTACGATTCACACGATTGGTAGTGAGAGGGAATATCGCCTTGCGAATGGTGCCGTGAAGAAGCCCGTTCAAGTCTTAGACGAGCTCATTGCCGAGGTTAACGGTAATGATATCGAGTTTGACACCTTTCCTGCCGTTACGTCCTGTGAATCACCCCTCCTCGATGATCTGGATCCTAGTGTAGGATGTTTCGATGCATCCCAGCAAGAAATTCATCCTCGTTTAGAGATGCTTTGGCATACTCGTACTGTGTCATTTCCGAGACTCGTGGCGAGTTTAGCGAGACCTTGAACCGTGATGCTGGGTCGTGCCGTCCTCACACCATTCATCGTGACCTTTTCCCTCGAATCCCTGGTATCTGGGATCCTACCGATACGGCTTTGGACTCGCCTCAACCACCTAGACCCCGTCCATCTTACGAGGCAGTTCAGCGACCTCCTGTTGCTCCTATTCCCCCCGCTCCCACCTGTCATCAGCAATATCAACACTCAGGGTTCGTCGATAATACCCCTTTCGCTTCCGCCGAACCCCTAATAGATTTCCATCCCCACCATCGCCGGTACAATACGCCTCACGAAGTTGGTAATAACTTGGCATTCGCAGAGGGAGGCGGGCGAGTTTCGAGGTGGTCCAGAAAGGGCAATGATGAAGTAGTGATGACATCTTGTGGAACCACTGCCACGCGCATACCGTTCCTCCCTTTCGAGTCTGACCGATCTTGGTACGACACCACCCGTCTACCTCGCAGTATTGCAGAAGGCCATCACGTCGGCGGACCTTGGAACGCCCTTACTGGTATGTTTCGAGCAGTGTGAGCTCAAATTACAGTTGCCGCGGTCCTTCTCGCCACCTCTTGTGTTGCTCGGACAATCCGAATACTTCCGTTGTCGTCCATCTTCTCGTTTATTTCGTCTCTCTCAGTTCGTATCAGCTATTTAGGATTGTTCACCATTCAGTTTCAATTATCGCATCTGATATCCTCTTCCCGTGGCACCAACGTTGACAGACCATTCGACACCGACTCTCAGGGTCAAGGCCACTTGACATTGTTGTACCGCAGCAGCGCTGCTGGTGCAAGTATTTCCGAAAAGGTCTTAGATCACGCTGCCTCAACACTGTATGAATTTTGGTCATTGGTGCTTCGATTCCCCGCATGCCTCTAGTCTCTCTTCTGTGTTTTCTCTTTCGCTCCAAGCACTAATTATTGCATCAGGCCGCCCTTCGGTTTTGTTCAAATATCGACCTCTGGCTTCCCTCATCGATTTCTTGTGGGGCTCATTCGAGATGGACATTATAATGTGGAGAGTTTTCACTCGCGCATCCCAAGGATTCATATGCTCCAACTTTGGGACCAGGTCGTTAATCGTCGGCCGAAATCCAGCGGGTTCCGAAGATTTATCACCGCGGTTCTCCATCTCGTCACACTGGTCGTTTGGATTGCGCGTACATAAACAATTCCTTTTTCCGCTTGTTCTTCTGTGTTTTCCCCCCTTTTTTCATTTTTGCCTCTGCCCCATTTCCAGTCCTCCTGAGCGTCTGTGAACGCGGAACTCATAGACGATAACGACTCATCCATTATGGTTCCCCTTTTTCCCGTTGCTTTCCACCGCTTTCGTTCAGCGATCTCCAATCACACACATTTTAAAATATGTCATTTTTCCATTGTAACGAACCAGCCAGTTCTTTTTTCCCTGGTTTTTGTTCTCTCTTTGCTCTATGGCGATTTTGGCTTATCCCTCTCTTTCCTTACTCCGCTCCTTGGTCTCTAACGCCTTCTCGTCCGGTGTCGATTGTCACCTTATATCATCCATACCATCTACTTCCAACTCCCACACGTTCGCGCGGATCTCCCCATGCATTCTTTCCGACTGTCCTCAGTTTGCATTGTTGGACGTGCACGGTCAACTGCGGTTATTGCCCTTGCAACGTTATCTCTTCATGTGAGGGAGTGTCCTGATAATTTTTACTCTGTTCCAGTGACTGGGCATGGCAACTCCAAGGAACACTTCCCTGACAATTCCATCCGATGGCCAACCATTATTATTCCCTCTCCCATCTGTCGTTCGCCGACATTTCCTACCACAAACGTGATTCGAGAAAATATACAAAAAATTAAATCAAACTTGTCCCTTGTTTTGCTTCTTCACCCACAAAACACCCGTCCCTATATTCCCATCCGCTATCATCGTCACCTCTTGTTCTTCAGTGGCAAATGTTGATCAGTTTGGATCGACATTTGCCTCATTTATGCACACTAAAAACCTTTTTTTCCCCCTCTTTTCTGATTGTTCCACGAAATGGTTCAATGCCACCCTGTCACTGAGGCCTTGTTCCTTTGAGCCTTCCCTGGCTAGCTTGCGCCCGTACGATTGTTACAATTTTGCCTTTGCAAACCATTTCCCCTTATCCCGCCCCTAATTTTTCCCAAGTTACGTTCGTACTTGCGCATGATTTAATGATATCTTCCGTGGTTCATCAAGATGTTTCGTGTGCTCGCAATCGTTCAAGTCTACCTACAACGTAAGCGCCCTTGTCCTCCAGTGTAATGTCGTTGCTATATTGGTGTTAGCCGATTTGATGTATTGTCGCGCCAAAAAGGGAAATATGTAAATGAGCGCCCATGAACGGTTTGTTGGGCGCTTCGAGTACGAGCCGCTCGCGTAAAAGCTGGGAATGAAACAGCTTGGCAAGGTGAATCGTAAGTTGGGCCGCACGCGTTCATCGGTGCAACTACTTATTATATTGCGTTGCTATTTTTATATCTCCAACTAATTATGTAGCGTATCAGGGGAGCGGGAAGCTCATGATGATTCGTCAGTTCGAACTTCAGGCAGCTTGAATGCAGAATAACAGACACGCGAAATGCCAAGAAAGGCTATCCACAAAACCGATGCTGGCTTGGGCGCGAGACAAAGGCTGTTGGTACAGTTTGTCGGGAGGGATACAGTAGCTAGCAGAGGTGAAAAAAAAAATCGTTGAGCACATGGATCCTTCATAAATAACAGAGCCTGCATTTCTTATGAATCTCCAGGAATATGGTAGACTGGTGCCTCGCCTTGCGACCCATCATAACGGCTAGAACTGATGAGGATACAGTATGGCCATGAGGATGCAAACTCACTCTTCAGTCCATGATGGTCACTGGTGGGACCCCCTCCTCGCGTTTTTTCAGATAGAAACGAACAAATTGGTGGGTATTCCCAGCGAGAATGACTACTGCGACAAGCTGTCCAAAATTCCACACATTCTCGCCGGGTTGTACGTGATTGAAGTGGACGGTGAGTTCCAGCGAGATGACACCATATGCGGTACCGATCAGACGCCCGAGGGCGCCACAGAAATGCAGAACCTTGTCAGCATTGGCCACGGCCTGGGGAGTTGGCTGTAGTCCTGGATTTTGTGATGAATGTTGATCAATATATGGTGTTGTGGGAGTGTCAAACGTCGGATGTGGGTTGATCCCCGAAAAGTATGGAAGCTCGAAGGACGGATCCCGCTCATGCGCCGCTTGCCGGGTCAACGAGCCCTTGAGCAAACGAAAAATGGACTTGATGATCCAAGGCGTTGCATACAGCGCTGCCAGATTTGACACGCCTATTACCGCGATCCCTAATGCCCTGAACCAAAGGGCGGTGACTCGAACTTTCCAGGCGAGCATGAGATAGATTACGCTGTCATTACACTCTGGGTCGGGCCCGAATCTTGGAGCGTTCACCATAAGATATACCGCCCAGGCAGAATGGACAGTCTGAAGAATCCATATCTAGAATGTACAACATGTTGACCTGTAGAGATGTGATATCCATAATAAACGTACCGTCACCCAGTAGAAAGCCAGTTGCTTTGGGGGAGCGCGGTAGTATAGAGGGTGCACGAATAATATTATCCCGAAATAACCATTAATATGGGATATAATAAGGGCATGAAAGAGATCCAGTTTTTTCGATACGGTTTGCACAATTGCGACAATCTAATCACTGGTCAAGGCGCGGTTGTTAGCGTGGGTGTACAGAACCCACCAGCAAGGCTAGCGCGTTCACACCGGCGCCCTGAGCCAAAGCATCGCACAGCTCCGTATAACCCCTCCCAAATCGCAGCAAGGAGATAATAGTGCTGGTAACATAAAAAGAGACGCGTATACCGATCCCAGACACGTTGGGATTAGGCTCGATGCTACACATTCTCAGGGAAGTGGATGAAAGACAGGTGTGCAGGTATCAGCGTTTTGTATGGGCTCGGGATTTAGAAAATATGCCGCGAGGGCACTGGCTTCCCTCGATGTCCTATATGCGGACTTGGGGGGGTTTGGCGGGTTGAGCACCCGAATAGCCCAGTATTTCGGGAGGCCAAGTTTTCAAATTTTGAGGAACAGGTTCGTAGCCAATTAATACAAAAAGGGGATACCGCTTCGGTACGGTTGTTATCTCAATTTGCATTCCGGAGTGGAAATGCTTCGAGCCCAGTTTCGTCCGCCGATTTCGAGTCCGTGAGCGCAACATCTCAGCACATATGTCCCGAGACACTAGAGTTACGGTTTTTGCATCTTTCAAGGCGATTCTGCATAGCTAAGCTGGTCTGGAACATCATGGATGCTGACGAAACTGCGACGGAATGCGGTAACATTTTAGCGATTTAAAGCGGTAATCCGAACTACTTGATGAATAATGAAAGGATGGGACTGTTCACCTCGTCGAGGCCAGAGCAACTGCGCTTATTTCACCCGTCCTAACCCTCCCCTCCCCCAACGTGGAAGTGCTGCTTTAATGAATAGACACCCTTCGTGGTGCACAATTCAATACTGCGGAGAATTAATAGGAAGGAGTCGTTACATATAGGACCTTCCTCACGATAGGTGATGATCAGGCACGGCGTGCCACGAGTGCGTCACAAAGTGGAGCTCCACTGCCACAGCCCAGTGACCCTGTGCTACGGCAAGCCATTGATGCGCGCTGACATCATTGAGTGCGGATCCTGACGATTTTCACACTTATATGTCCCTTGCCTTTTGTACGACCGCGAACCTAAGGCTCATGGTTATTAGATACTGCTTGCCTGGGTCGTGACCCAACACCGACAATGGGCCTGCCGTGGTCTCCTGGGGTAAGTAGTGTGGGTACCTGATGCAAATTCACCCATAAATTATGAAATCCCAGACTCACTGGTCTTAGCTCTAGCGTTGTGTGTGTCGGCATTTGTGTCCTGAACCCAAATGGGTCGCAGTCGATACTGGGTACTTCCGTGATATGTAATTGCCCCTCACATTCAGTTCCTTCACTTGCCTTCGAACGCCTCAAGCACATACGTTGACTGTCCTGCCAGCTTCAAGTCCATGGATAGGCAAACCTCGCGTGTTGAATATGACAAGACTCCTTGCATTGAGGCAAGGCAATCATCGGTTGACCACCTAGGCGCACATCATTACAAATAACTTATTTTGGAGGCTTTTCTAAATAAAGCAATTCCCCGTCACGGTGAACCAGATGGGCTCAATGGTAGCGCCCCTCCAGCCCAACTGGCAAGGGATTTATTCTTTGGGAATAAATCGCGTCGACTACGTGGAAATATCATGACTCATTTGTGTTCCATCCCTCGTGGTATTCCCTTAAACCATTTTTACGCCGCTCTAATGACCCTTGACCCATGTTATGGGAGATCTTCTCCACCGGCCTGGCACACGGATTGAAGGGGCTTCCTGGACTTTCTTGTCCTCTCGGTCTTCTTTGACATACGCGAAATTAGGTAGCAACAAGGTGAAAATTTGCTCTACGTTCAATGATGAAGATGTCCTGGTGGCTGGTGCGGTGGTGTTGACGGTTTGGATCACAAAACATTTCCCTCTTGCAGCCGCCGAGTGCCGCATAGCATCGAGCGCCATGCATCGACTATGACTGCTTAGGTGTTACTAACGGGAGGAATCTTGCATAGGTAGTAGTCAGACCATACAGTTTTAATTATTGATTTGAACTGCCGCTCGCAATCCCGACTCTGGCTCGATGGTCTGGAGTGGGGGAGGCGGATCGTCATTGATATATGGTCAAACTTGTTGTGCCCGTTCGGTGTCCAGTCGTTCCGAGCGCGAGGTCGGGGACTGCCGCTCGCAGCGCTGAACTACACCATACGAAGTCCTCAGGCTTTGCGCTGACGCGCCATACTCGCCGATTGTCGAATTCACCAGTGAGGGAGCCAGCAATGTTTTCATTCTTGCCACTTGTTGAGCGTTGCGACAATTTCCGCCGTGTGGATGAGGGCAGTGAAGTCGACAATCCCATCCCGTTCTATGTTACTCCGCCACAAGGGGTCGAGGTCAGGATTGGGTGGATTCGATCCCCAGTGGTTGACGTATTGCAGCAGAAAACAGGCAACCCCGTATTTGATGTGACAGGTACTGAAGCTTTGATAGTTAATTTTGATATCGTCGAATCCTCTGAATGTTTGCATGTACCAGGACGGGAAGTTCGTTTTGTCCGTAATCTTGACTCACCGCGTAAGCGTAGCGACGCGCTTGATGTGCTATGCAGAGAATGGCGCAACAGCGGACTCTTCAGCGATGTCATCGGCGGGTCACTCTGGAGGGATGAGCTTTATCCAATCTACTATGACCCATTTAAAAGGACGGGTTCGGATAATACAGATATCGCATTTCTTCTCGAGCGTGCTTGTTGCACTATTTTCGGGCTCGTAACATATGTGAGCAAGGTGTTCTCTTCGAAACACCTAGCTAATGATCAAATTGTAGGGCTGCCACATGACGATGTACTTGGAGGGAGAGCAGAAAATATGGGTCCCAATAAGAGCAAAAACTAAAACGTCAGCAATCACTTGTGAAGCTGCTACGTCGCTATTGACAGGATGTAATTAGTTGGCCGGGTTGCCCAGATAACACCGTTGCCGGTGGAATACCGTATGGACTGACTCCAACAGACGCATTGGTGAAAGAGTGCATGGAGGAGGCTTCGCTCGAAGAAAGTTTCGTCCGCAAATACCTCCGGGCTACCGGAGCAATATCCTATTTCTTCCAGTGAGTGACCGACAAAACATCGTTAGTGTGCCACATACAGGTGCGGGCTCCTATCAGATCGTCGAAGGGATGGCTCAAACCAAAGACGCAATATGTCTACGATTTGGTTGTGCCAGTAGGGGTGGATGCCCCAGAACTTAAACCTTTAGATGGTGAAGTAGAACGGTTTGAGGTCAGTTCAGCTCTACCCAACACACACCTTCTTGCTCCATGCCTTTATTAGCTTCTTTCGGTGGACGATGTGCTCGACAAACTTAGGAAGGGTCTGTTCCCGCCAACCTGTGCTTTAGGTATGTGTATTACTCACGAAGATCAATAAAGTGACCCGGTTCGCAGTCTTCATAGACTTCTTTATCCGTCATGGTCACATCACTCCTGAGTCGGAACCAAACTTTGTCGAGATTCTTACAAGGATGCATGGCCGATTTGGTTTTGACAATTATGTCTGTGCTCAACATCCACAACTTTGTTTTCATCCGTTTGGTGATACCTATTTCCACAAAGCAGTCTCCGAATGAGGTCTAAATTGTAGCTAGTAGACCGATCTTGTGGCGTGGTACAAGCAATTCGAACTGCCGTCTTGTGAAATCTTTTCCATCACAAGAAGATGAGCTACATGACTGCTTAAGGGAACGATTCTGGGAATCGCCTCTGCAACTCGGCATATGTATCCACGGAGGTCTCTTTGAAATCTCGATAATTGATCCCCAGGATTTTCTTCGACTTTGCGTTGTCCATGATGGCCGCATGTGGAACTGAAGTGTCCTCCCGCGGCTCACGGGGAGGGACTTTATATCTGGCTTCAATCAATGCATCGACTGGTGAACAGAGTAACGTTTTCGCGGAGTGGTGAGAAATTCCAACATCAAATCTTCCATACGAGGAAGGAGGACAAGAACTTACTCGATTGCTGGTAGAAGAAAGGTGCGCTGGATATAATAATGCGCTCTCCACCTGCCTCTGGTACCTCTAGGGCCAGGACATGCGCAAGAGCGACATCTCGGACGTCCACGAAATTGTTAGAAAAGAAGTCCAGAGTGCCATTGAAGATACAGTGACGGAACAACGCGATAGTTGCATTCAAGGCAGACACATCCTTGACCTTTGAATCGAATTAACCAAGAGTAAACGTCCCAGGTTTTCTCTATATTTGCTCACCTCATGTATGATCGGCTACAAGTGAATACAGCTGTAGATCAGCGCCAGAGAACGTGCGGTTATGCACTACACCGACGCACCCCAAAGACCTGATGCAGCAAAACCCAGGTCAACTCCAGCCAATGATCTTTAGAAACGAAAAGCGCACCACACTAGGCAAGATAGTAGTCAGATCAAAGTGCAAGCCCTTATTTTCGTTAATGAACTTCCAAGCAGCTTGTTCAGCCTTGGTCTTGCTTGTTGCATACTTCTGCTCTCCTGGTGCATTCGTTCCCTCCCGCTCGATGATTCCCTCAGACTTCGAGTTCCAGTCGTCCTGTTGAAGCAAAAGCCTCAATATCGCTAGGGGGAATCATTGTTCGTCATGCTTACCTCCGTGAAGGTGTATGATGGGACATCTTTCGATTCCAGTATGGATGCTATGGAAGATGTAATTACTATTCGCTTGATGTTGTGCCTGGTCTCCATTTGATTAGGAGTGCCCTTTGAAGATGACTTGCTCCATACCCAAATTGTTGAGCGCTTCGAAGAATCCCAAGAGTCCCCTCCACGGCTGGCCCAATGACGGATTGAGGATCGCCAGAGACATCCATGGGTGTGGCAGCGTGGATGATGGCATCAGGGCCCGTGGATTTCACAGCTTCGTCGAATGCATTCTCCTGTAACACCATTTTTCACTATTCGAGCCCTAAATGAGTGATAACCAACGCACTTCGAGATTTTTGGCGACAACAAATTCAAATTTATCTCCAAACTGCTTCTTCAGATAGTCTCCCTTCGGCGCTGACCTCACCGTTCCGATGACGTTGTAACCTCGATCGATGAGAACTCGGACGATCCAGGCGGCAATAAAGCCATTTGAACCAGTTACTAGAACCTTGGCTGGCGATGTGAGAGAAGGCATCATTCCAGACAAAGAGCACAAAAGATAGAAGTAGCTGCAGGAGGAGAGTCGATTGCGACCACAATCATCCAATGTTATAATGATATCGAATTGCGATCAGGACGACTTACATACGTAAGCCTTCTGATATCAATAATCTATCAATATGTTCATCTTCGCACCCTGGCCCAGGGAAGACCATATCCGCTGCTCAAGATGGGTGCACACTTCCCCGAACCGTAACGGGGCTCATTGATGCGACAATCTCTTGCTGATATCATTTCTATCTTACCAGTCTTATTTCACTTGATGGGTAACTGAATTGCTTGGTTGCTGCATTTCAAGCTGTGGTTTCTCTTGATATTTCTAGTGATATTTCTAGTCACAGAAATAGTAGTCGTGTACTTTCTGTTGCATAGTTTCTCCTTTCGGAAATGTCCGAAAGCGAGCTGCACCAGGATGCTTGCGTCGTTTG